TCAGTGTGTAGTATCTGTTCTTCTAATCTATAATGATAATATTAGATTTATAAGGAAACATTTGACATTCAATGACTGAACACCCAATGTTGCTCTTATGTTTTCTGTTATTTGGTAGACATCTTTGTGATTCAGTAGCCGCCTGTCCACAAGATTCGAAAATGGATGGTCCTAGCTAAGACCTACAGGTTTAATTCACTCGAAGCTGTTTTTAGATACGGGCGTTTGAAAGCGGTTATATATAACTCACAGTTTAGACATTTCTGGAGGAGTTTGGCACCATGAATGTTATCCATATCAAAGCTTCGATCTGAAGACTATTTAAGTACAATGACACGAGTTTTTAGGTGAATGCTATGAAAGTCTTATTTATTTAATGTCACAGTTTTATATTTGTACACGTTCACACACACACACATACACACACACATAAAAGGGTAGACAAGCAATTTTATTTGATTTATTTTCAAATCTACAGCCCCTTTTGCACCGACGAAACGACACAAGTTTTTTCCACTACTTCCATCATACATGTTCAGACGGCTTAAATTCCACCTTTACCAGCTAAGACACGGCATGTACTGTATACACAGTGAATGATCATCATTCTGTTCATATTCCATTTGTAAGGAGGAAGTTCCACCTAGACAGCTTCTCCCCAAGAAATGTTACTTTGTGCAATTCTAAGTTTTTTTGTTTTTTTTGAATAAAATATATATTTCTGAAACGTTATTAGAGGAAAATTAGCAAATTTAAATTAATCTGATTTGCAACAAATATTACTTACTAATAGCATAAAATGTTACATACAAGCATTTCTTAATTACGGGGTCCTTTATTTTTGATATGCTAATTGATTTATTGACAGCTTCTCCCCAAGAACCGGTACTTTGTGGAACAGACTCCCGCGAAGATGCTTCCCTGATCACTCCAAGACTCGGGTTAACGCTTATCTATCCTACATATCCTCATAATCTGCAGTAAATCCCATACTTGGTGGGAACTATATGAAAACAGTGCGAATTTACATGTGAAAAACTCGGACCCGAGATATGTCTGTGTGTGGATGATATTATATAGGCTCCTGAAAAATTAATTTCGGTTAAGCTCTCTGGGGGAGGAAGTGTGGGTTTGCAAACAGTGACTATTACGGCTGATATAGCAAGACTCTTCGGCAAAAAGCGAATTGAGTCCTGTCGGTCACTAAAAATACAGCAAAACAGTCTGTCTGTAGATGACATTATATATATATATATATATATATATATATATATATATATATATATATATATATATATATATATATGTGTGTGTGTGTGTGTGTGTGTGTGTGTGTGTGTCTGCGTGTGTGTGTCTGCGTGTGTGTGTTTGTGTGCGTGTGTTCGTGCGTGTGGGTGCCTCCACTAATTCGGTATACGTAAAGTTTAAAATGATTTTTTTTTTTTTAAATGAAAAACTTTAATTTTAGCTTTAATTGAAAACTAAAGAATTTAAAATTTACTATTTCCAGTAAGCAAATTTTTTTCTGGTGTATTTTCAATTATATTGATCGGAATCGATTTTTTTTTCAGTAAAATCGATAAAAATCGGCCATTTTTGCAGATTTGCAAACAAAAGTTAATTCTCAGTTTTTAAAAAATAAAATATATATTTCTGAAACGTTATTTGAGGAAAATTAGCAAATTTAAAGTTAAATTAATCTGATTTGAAACAAATATTACTTACTAATAGCATAAAATGTTACATACAAGCATTTCTTAACTACGGGGTCCTTTATTTCTGATATGTTAATCGATTTATTGACAGCCGATTGAACGTGTTCATAGTTAAGTATGGCGGAACAGACGATATATTTTATAAGTTGGGGGACAAGCCTTAAAACACGTGACCTTTTAATGATAGATTTATCGGTTTGTACATCCATACTTCAGAATTTCTGCACGTATGTAATAAGCTTTACAATATATGATTAGTAAATATAGTTTTACTTAATAACAATATTTTCTAAGAGTTATCACATGGAAAGTAAATTTTAAAAGATTTGAAATCTTTATAAATTATTCAATTTAAAATTGTAAAAAATGAAAACAAATTTTGTAAAAATTAATTTTTCATCTAAATTTTTTTTTCTGCAAACAATATTATCTTTAATATATATTATTCATAAAATCAATTAAAAGCTTCTCTAATCAAGTAATGTCTTAAATTTATTGCGTTTTTTGTTTTTTGATTCAGAACAAAGTCCGATTTTGCAAAAATATCGCCGATTTAAATTTTTCAAAGAATTCTACTTTTAATATAGTCACTAAAAATTTAAATTTCTCAAGTTTTGAGAAAATTAAGTACGGGGAAAACATATGAAAAAAATAATATATATATATTTTAACCAAGATTTTCTAATAAAAAAAAAATTAAAAATAATTTAATTCATTTGTGAATAAGTCCCGAAAATGTCATTAAAATGCAACGATTATTTGAGTTTTGCAAGAATTTCTAAATTAATGTGTCAGTCACCGAAAAAAAGTTGCTATGCTAAAAGTTAGTACTACCACTGATCCAGGGAAAGCAAGTTTTTAGTCAAAATTTCGAATGTTCTAAAAAGGATTAAAAAAATGAATTAAATATTCAAAAAATACTCTGGTATTTCTTCAGGATTGCTGACATCTTTGCCCTGAAGAGTGAAGTTATTGCTACACTAGCGCTCACAAAACTTTGAGGTCGGTATGACTGAAATAACACCAGTCAATTAAGCGATAAGTTTTTCCACATTAATTCTAAATATTCATTGAGATATGAAGATGAAAAGATAATTCTGACATTTCATTTTCTGATGAAGTTTAAATAAAACCGAAACATGTCATATTTATAAACTCTTCCTAATTGTTCCTTATCCTATCATTCTGACGGATTCTAGTCCATACGCCAATTCGGTCGGGTTTCGATCCTAGCTAGAGGCAACCGGACGTCTAGCCACACTGAAGAGTTGTGATACAGCGAAACAGTCTGTCTGGAGATGATATTATATAGGCTCCTGAAAAATTAATTTCGGTTGAGCTTTCTGGAGGAGGAAGTGTGGGTTTGCAAACAGTGACTATTACGGCTGATATAGCGAGACTCTTCGGCAAAAAGCGAATTGAGTCCTGTCGGTCACTGTCGGTCACTAAAAATACAGCGAAACAGTCTATCTGTGGATGACATTATATATATATATATATATATATATATATATATATATATATATATATATATATATATATCTACGGACAGACTGTTCCGATGTATCACATCTCATCAGTGTGGCTATATGTCCAATTGCTTCAAGCGGGGATCGAAACTCGACTGATTTAGACATCGGTCAGATATCTGATCTCAAGGAATACCCCCAAATGGCTCGGAGAACTCAATTCAATTTACTTGAAGAGTAATGCTTAATAGCTGTAGAAGTCGTTGATTTTTTTTTTTTAAAACCCTTTCCTTAGAGAGGTCAATCTAATTTTCGGGAGCACATATATATAGTAATAGAAAAGATTTTTTATATATATATATATATATATATATATATATATATATATATATAGTAATAAATAGATTCTCTCTATATATAGTAATAAAAAGATTATATATCTATATCTATATATATATATATATATATATATATATATATATATATATATATATATAAAATTTTTTTAATACTTACTTAAACGTTATTTTTAGTGGATACTCTTATTTGAGTAGACACTCCATTCAAAAAAAATCCTGAGTGCAAATATTTTTCGAATTAAATTTCTCGAATATTCAGGCCGGTAAACAAAAATAGATATAGAGTTTAATAAATAAACGGAACGTCTACTCAAATACGAGTATCCACTAAAATAAAACATTTAAGCAATAAGAATCTGTCAAACTAATAAATAAAAAATACATCCCTTTCTTCACACACACACACACACACACACACAAATGTATGAAATATGTATGAAATATGAGTATTCGCTATGAAATGTATGAAATATGTGTGAAATATGAGTATTCACTATGAAATGTATGAAATATGAGTATTCTATATGAAATGTATGAAATATGTATGAAATATGAGTATTCACTATGAAATGTATGAAATATGTGTGAAATATGAGTATTCGCTATGAAATGTATGAAATATGAGTATTCACTAAGAAATCTATGAAATATGTAAGTAATATGAGTATTCCCTATGAAATGTATGAAATATGTATGAAATATGAGTATTCGCTATGAAATGTATGCAATCACAAGCAGAAATACGAAACTGTACAAGAAATCGTCCAGTGTCTACGGATTCAATTAAACATACATAAACATATTCCCTTTGTATTCCATTAGAAAGGAAGAAGTTCAATTTGGACAACTTCTTCCTAAGAATCGCTACTTCGAGGTCCAGACTCTCAAGAGGATGTTTCCTGGATCCCTAAAATTGTTAACCTTTTCAAACCGTTATCTTTCCTACATGTCTCCCTAAACTTCACTTCTTAAGCTCATAAACAAACTAATTCAGTAACACTCTAGATTGAGTGACACTTTGGCCTTGTATCGGTAGAACAATTAGTAAAATAAAAAATTCAGTTTGAATATTGACATCCTCGAGTATTGCTCGCGTGTGTGTATGTGAGTAAATTTATGGACAATTTTTTTTAATGGTTGTCTATAAAATGCGAACCAGTTTTACTTGTACGCGTGTGCTGACTCCAACGTGTATATATGAATATGTGATGATTTAGTTGTGTGAATGCTAATCCCTACCACCGTCACCACTTGCGATGTCCCTCCCTCCCATCTCCCTCAATCGTGAGTTTTTTTTCACTCTTGCGTGAAATCGGGTGGCAAAGGGTTGTGAAAAAAGTTGGTGGTGGAATTAGAATCGACATCGGAACGTTGAAAAGGGAGAAAACACAAGATAAACAACGGGCGGTACAATGCCTATGATGGCGGGGTTAAGGGTTGTTTGGTCGGGGTGCTGGTTATTGGGCATGTGGGGTTGTCGGGAGCTGAGCGAGAGCGGGCGAGAGTAGGACGGGCAGTTCATGGCTGAGCGAGATTTCACCGCGGGATTCAGCATTGGCATTTTGTCGGGAGTACTTCCACATGTGAATCGGAGCACGGACGGAGCGATTGTTCACGGAGAAGGAGAGAAGGAGATTGAAAGCATGGAAAATAGTAAAAGACTTATAGACAGGTATACCCCCTCCAAAAAAAAAAAAAAAAAAAAAAACAAGGAAGGAAATGATAAAAATAAAGGTAAACACCAAGAAAAATACAAACAAACGAATACACAGGAAAGGATAAAAAGACTATCAAATAACATTCTCATATCTTTAGTATATATATATATATATATATATATATATATATATATATATATGGTGCGATGGATTGTCATCTAAATTTCGCAAAGTAAAAATAAAACTGACATCTCATTTTAACAGATATATTTACCAAAATTGCACAAAAAAATATTTTGAAATACTAAAAAATAAATTTATTCAGTAAAATTGCCATTGGCTTCAACCACGGCCTCCAGACAACGTCGGGATCTCCTGCAACTCTTCTGTACGGTCTCCTTTTTAAAGTTGATGAATGTTGCCGTAATACTTGCCTTCAGTTCATCTTTGGTGCTACAAGGAGCTTTGTTGGTCTCTCGTTCAACTGCGACCCACACATAATAATCAAGGGGGTTTTAATCTGGAGAGTTAGGTGGCCAGATGTAAGGGGTGATTTAGTCGCAAAAATTAACAGTCATGACTGGATTCTCCTGCTTGTGAGGCATGGTGCAGAGTCCTGTTACCAGATATAGCGTTTTCCAGCAGCCACTCGCTTGACCCAAGGCAGCACTACATCCTCAAGGCACTTGATGTAGGCTTCCGTGTTGAGTCTGATGCACTTGCCAACAAATTCGGGAGTTTTTTTTCTGATGGGAATGATCAGAGTGAGTTTTCGGAGCTGCCGTACGTTCGCCATCACCAGGTATTTCTCGTCAGAGCTCATCTCACACATCTACAAATCTACCATTCGTCATTTCATCGAACATTGTTGCCATATCTGGTCTGGTGCCCCTGCCGGTCATCTCGAGATTCTCGACAAAATGCGAAAAAGGATCTGTAATATAATCGATCCTGAATTGGCTTTCGACTTCAGACACTTTCTCACAGATAAGATGTGGCTTCCTTCTGCCTTTTCTACAAATATTTTTGCCTGGCTTTTAAAAGACATCTTTTGATATCCCAGTGCACCTTCGGATTCCGGCGTGGCATTTTCCATCCTCTGTTAAAAACATTTTCTAGATATTCAATTATATTTTTAAAGTCTTCCTAATTGTACCTTATCTTGCCATTCTGAATGATTCTAATCCATATATCAAAAGCAGAAAATGTCTCATATCGAGAATATTTAACATTGAAAAACATAAGGAAAAAATTAATTATTTTTAATAATTTGTGGAAATCTCCGCTTTTACCTGAAGACGGTCGCGAGACCAGAAACACGTATAGTAAAATTATGGAAAACAAAGCATAATATTTTTTCTAAATAAATCCACATTACAACCAAATACGTTTGCGGCACCTCTCCTCTCTTCTTTTTAATATACACACTTTTCTCTCGTTGGAACCACTACTACCTCTTTCTTATATATATATATATATATATATATATATATATATATATAAGTGAACATTGAAGTCAACACTTAGAGGCGACAGGCTGTTTCATGGTAGACGCAATCGTCAGGCCACGAGTGTTATTTCTTTCTCGGCTATTTATATATACGGGTCAGTGGTGCATTGTGGGTAGTCTATTTTGGCGGTTATTTTGCCGCAAGTCGTTTATTTGTTTATTTATTTGGGTTAAATTATTTTGCTTGTTTTTATATATTTTTATTTTTTATAAAAAATAAAAATAAATAAATTATTTTGCTTGTTTTTATTTTTATAAGGTGGTTGGAATGTCGAACTGAACCCTTTATTTCACTCACTGGAGTAGACTGTTCTAGTTCCACGTGCCATGATTGATGGATGTCAGTTATCAGTTATCTCCTGTTAATTTCCCTCTGAAAGTTCTCCACTGCCTTAACCGGGTATTGAACTCACACTCTTTGGGTCCTGTCACTGGATCAAAGAGTGTGTTTACCATTTAATTTCCAACCTCCGTTTTTGTTATTCCTCATTCAGTAACCCTTCCTAGGTTACAACAATATTACGTGCTAATACCCTTGGAAAAAGGTATGAATCCACTTCTTCTCCCCCCAGCTATGGGTAAATAGCAGGACATACCGGGTTCTATAGCCTTGGATGGCAAGTGGTCTACCGACGAAAGAAATAACAACCTACTGCGGGAAAAAATCTGCCTCGTCAATGTATCGAAATATACATGATAGGCTAAGCGTGTATCACGCATGGCACATAACTGACTGACTGTTTGGTTGGTTATTTGCTGCATTTCTCTGTTCCACTTGCCTTCATGCGAGTATCAAATTTTCCAAGCCCTCTTTCCACATTATATGCCCTTGAATTTCAACTGTCTCTTTCTTATATAAAGTGTAAGTGTCTTTTTTGTTTCCACTTTCTCTGAAACTTCGTTATTGCTCACATGTTCAGTCGATGGCATTCTCATTATTCTTATGAAAACCATATCGTTGCTTCGTTATCTCTGAGGAAATTGTCCAGCATTAACTGCCATATGATAGGACAGTTAAGTACTCTTTTCTTTGTTTCTAATGAAATTTTCCTGTTTGTTAATACTTTGCTTGGCTTTTAAAAGACATCTTTTGATATCCAAGTGCACCTTCAGATTTCTAGTGTATCATTTTCTATCCTCTGTTAACATATTTTCTAGATATTCAATTTTTTTTGTACTTGCTTCATTTTAGTATCCCCAATTTGTAATTCGCATTTTTGGTTGTCTCTTTTGCTGACAACCACACATTCTATGTTCTTACAATTCATACATAGTCCTTCCTGCTAGTTTTTGTTTACGAGATTCTGTAGGAAATACTTGTCGTTCATGATGACGGTCGTCTTCGAGTATAGAATCCAGAGCTTAGCAGTTAATATTTCGAAGACAGTAGGAAAGCGTATTTCAGGTTAGCAGTGGATATTTCGAAGACAGTAGGGAAGCGTAGTTCAGGTTAGCAGTGGATATCCTGGTAAATTAGCAGAGTAGTTCTTCCTTCTTTCTTCTTCGCCTGACAAGCTGGAACTGGACATTCGGGTAGAGTAAACAAAATGGCCGCCTTTATACACGACGGATTGAATATTCTACGTCTTCTGATTGGTTAACCTTCTATTGGTGGACTATAAAGTGAGTCAAATCATTTGGGCTAACTCACTAGTACATAGACATACACAAAAAACTGCAACAATACTGTAGTTCTATTTCTGTGTCTATGTCATCTACATATCTAAAGTTATTAAGATTGTGGCCGACAGTAATGAATCCTGGCAGGAATTCTAAATCTCTCATAATCGCCTCACTCTAAAGGTCGAATGTCCGGCGAGAAGGTACATCCTTGTCTTACTTTATTTTCGTTATAGTTACTGAAATCATTTTCTATCCGTATGAAGGCAGTTTTCTCCCAGTATAACTTCTGGATTATTCTAATATCCTTCCTTTGATATCTAATATATCAAGCTTAAAGCCATAAGTGGTCAACTAAAAGTCCTGCCATATTTTTATGTCCCATTTTCGACCTTAACGCGGGCGAAGAAAAGACATACCGTTCTGGTGTGCTTCCGCCACCAACCACAAGGCTTCAAAGATTACGGCCTTCAGATATGTCGCCAGGTTACGACCGCATCACGTTGAAACACCGAAGTTGAGCAACGTCGAGCCTGGTCAGTACCTAGATGGGTAACTGCTTGTGAATATTAGGAGGTGCGGGTGGAAGTCGCCTGAGAAAAATTTCCTGAATAAAATATGTATAACTTTGGATACTTACATGAAGAAAAATATATAACAGAACATATATACAGACGGCTTACGGCCATATCATATTGAAACACCTGTTCCCGTACAATCACCGAAGTTAAGCAACGTCGAGCCGGATCAGTGCCTAGATGGGTGGCCGCTTGGAAATTCCAGATGCTGGAAGCTTGGATGTGAGGGTGGCTTGATGGATAACGGCTCGAAATTGTTAATCGGGGAGCCGTGTTCCAATTCCCGTTGGGCTTGTTATATTCGCTTACGTGCAAATTCCCTTACGAAGGATATGAATCAACCGCTTTCCCCGCAACTATGGGTCAATTAGTAAGACTTGCATCGCTAAAACCATTATTATCTAAAAAAAAAAAAATTCTTACAACCCCAAAATATATTCAGGCTTTAAATAACCTGAAATAGGTTGGTAAGCCGTAAAAAAACGAATTAATAAATACTGGACATGAACTTCATACCACTGGATTTATATCTGATGTCCCCGTGCACCACTTATCGCCTTGATGACTCTGACACACGGAGCTGTGTGACAATGATTGCTGATGCTATTCTGCTATTCTAGATTCGTGGGACAAATTCGATATTCCTGAAAATGTGAGGAAAACAATTTTTTTAAAACATAGAACCGAATAATTGCCTGCAAGTTGAGCTACAGTCGTTGAAATTGAAGACGATTACATTATTGATAAATAACTTACAACAAAAATATTACACGTAGTTTGCTAATGATTTTACAATATAAATTCAAATAAGTGCAAACATTTTTACTAGATATTTATTAAAAATAATTACAAAAGAAATGCATTGGAAATCAGGGAAGAAGGGATTGTCAGTGGTCAGGAACTGAGACAAACGTTAATAACTATATGATGTAGAAGTATAAATAACTTTTGCACTACTGTCCGGGGTGGTAGCACCTGTTAGGGTTCCAACTATGGGTAAATAGTTGAACCTCAACATGGGTTCAAAACACTATGAAAGTATACAAATACATTTTTATCGTAAAAATTCCAACAATACATTTTCACAGTAAATATATTACTAGCAATATATTTTTTTCCAAAAAATAAAAATTACCAGCAATAGGTTTTTGAAAAAAAAAAAAAATTACAAGCAATACATTTTTGAAAAAAAAAAAAAAATTACCAGCAATATGTCTTTGAAAAAATAAATTACCAGCTATACATTTTTGAAAAAAAAAAAATTACTAGCATTACATGTTTGACAAAAAATTACCAACAATACATTTTTGATAAAATAAAATACTAATGCTCCTAAGAAAATTATATTTCAGCATGAAATGACCCATCAGGTATTGATATACCTTTAAACAAACAAATCGATCAATCGTTGAAATTTTAGGCGATTATATTATTGATAAATAATATTTAACTGCGTATAAATTACATTTGTTTTTATGTTATATATTTTCTGGTAAAACGCAATGACTTTCCGAACACCCTTACAGGTGAATGTCTTTTTACGTAGCTTATAAATGACATTTCTATAAAAGCAAAGAACTTCGTAAGGATTGTAGTCATTACATTAACAAATCATCTCGTAAGACTAGATGACTAATCATCGTGTTACGCCGGGAAGAAGCCGAGGATTGGTACTTATGTACCAATGCATATATTTCCGTCTATTACAGACAATGCCTTGGACACATTGGTCTTCCTTCTATGGCTAAAACAAAGGAACACGTAAAAAAAAAACACGTGTCGAATTGACAAGAAACAACAGTGACAATACAGTTTGTTTGTTTAGCGGCATATCAACTTCTTACAAAAGAAATGCATTGGAAATCAAGGAAGAAGGGATTGTCAGTGGTCAGGAACTGAGACATTTAATAACGAAATATAATTTTCTTAGTAATTAGTAATTTCTTTTATCAAAAATTTATTGTTGGTAATTTTTGTCAAACATGTAACGCTAGTAATTTTTTATCAAAAGTATATAGCTGGTAATTTATTTTCAAAGATATATTGCTGGTAATTTAAAAAAAAAATCTATTGCTTGTAATATTTTTTTTTTTTTCAAAAATGTATTGCTGGTAATTTTATTTTTTAGAAAAAAACATATATTTAAAAATATATTTACTGTGAAAATGCATAGGTATCTACGATAAAAATGTATTTGTATACTTTCATAGTGCTTTGAACACATGTTGAGGTTCAACTATTTACCCATAGTTGGAACCCTAACAGGTGCTACCACCCCGGACAGTAGTGCAAAAGTTATTGATACTTCTACATCATATAATTATTAACGTTTGTCTCAGTTCCTGACCACTGACAATCCCTTCTTCCCTGATTTCCAATGCATTTCTGTTGTAATTATTTTTAATAAATATCTCGTAAAAATGTTTGCACTTATTTGAATTTATATTGTAAAATCATTAGCAATGTAAATAAGGTGTAATATTTATGTTGTAAGTTCCCAAGAACAAAGGAAATGCATGCATTTAATTTGATAAGTTTAAGTTTATTTGTTCTTGAGAATTAAGAACAAAAATGTTAAACACTATTTATTTATTCAATAATTTTAGACGAACAATTTTATATTTACAACATTTTAAAAACTAATACAATTAAAACTAATACAATGTAATATTTATCAGTTATCAATTTATAAAGAAATAAATATAAAAACAATTTTATATTTGTAATTCATAAATATTTACTAAATTATTAAAATATGTGATCCAACTATAAATAAATCCTTATTATTTACCATTTTATAAAGCTCGAAGCTTATAAGGCAGTTAGCCTAGCTTTTGCCAACAATTCCAATAAACAATCCAATAAATGATGTCTTTAAAATTCTTGTTGTAAATTCTCAAGAATAAATGAAATGTTAAATCAACATTCATAATATATTCAAGTTTTATTAAAATTTTAATTATGGCCTTTTAAAAACAATAAACCTTGCCGAGGAGTGAAGGTAGTTAAAATAATAGCGGTGTCAAGGGAAAAACCTTCCTTTTGACACACCGTTTATTTTTTGTTATTTTTGTTTTTGTTTTTTTTTTGTTTTTGCGCGCGCACATCACAGAAAACGTTATGTTGAACTGTGTATAAAATATTCAATAGGCATCCAAAAGTAAGAACACAACTAAATATTCGATGTCTGTTCTTTTCCGTTTGTCCGCTGCTAATGACGATATTTGGTGGTGATTCCACTTCGAACATTTTAAAAGATGGCTTGGATATGTAATAAACAAAAACTGACAACACACAGTTGACTGAAATAGTTGAAAATCGTTCAGCAAAACTTTTCATGCCGACGTACAAACATTTTATTCGAAAACTAGAAAACTTCAATAAGCATTTAAACAGACAAACCTTATCGATTGAATTTAACGAAACTTGTTCGGATAAATTATCGCTGCCTCAAATATACCTGATATATATATATATATATATATATATATATATATATATAGAGAGAGAGAGAGAGAGAGAGAGAGAGATATGAACACACATGACACAGATAATGAACACACATGAATAGATAGACAAATATGAAGAGAC